GTCTATAAAAAAAGGGAAATTATTTGATATTTTAAATCAAATAATATTTTGAGTCATTTCAAATATTAAGCAAGCAGTGAATAATAAAATTGTATCCCAAACTACTTAATATAGTTTTCTTTTTGAAGAATATAATTCTTTTAATGAAGCTTTGTTCTTCATTATGATGTCGGGATAGTTGTACTATGATCCATACATCAAAATTGATTAGTAATTAATGCAATGGATGGATTAGCTTGATTCTACTTTCGATAAAGCCTCTGAACCTTCAGTATGTTGAACACCCGTGCAAACTAGTGACCAGCTCATAACTCTGCACGATGCTGAGCGCTGATAGCTTTTCCAGAAGAGCCTTTAAACTTCACTTCTCTCTCTGCGAGCTGTCCAGGAGCCTCAGGGGGAACAGGTTTCATACATTAATCAAAGAAAAGTGCAAAAGCACAACGCAGTGTCTCCACAGGATAACAGGCCACTTCTCGGTTTGGCACGCTGCTTTGAAAGCTTGTATAAAAGCCAGAGGCAGTTCATATGCTTTGTGTCCTTGTAACGTAGGGCATGAAAACTCACTCTTCGGGCCCAACAAAGTGGAACCCATATGAACAAATAAACAGAGGTTCTCTGATCTTACAAGGTCCAAAGTAGGGGATGTTGTTTGCTATTTTAGAGGTAAAAAATAGAAAGGTTATTTATTCTGAACGCACATGAGTGCTACAGATGTGAGTTTGGTAGAAAGAGCCTGGCTCTTGAACAACTCACGGACATGCCTCAAAGTTTATTTACATTTGTAAAGTAGATGATGTGTGTCCATCTGATGTGTGCACATAGCTGTTGATTGACAGTGCATGTGGAATAACTATAATATTGCACTGTAATCTAGTTACTGTGTGTGTATGTAATGAGAAAGTTGACTTTGTGTATTACAGCGATGACTGCTGTATGCATAAATGCATACATACATTTTTGTTTTTTTGAAACATTGATCTAAAAGAGACTGTGTGTTACATTAGTTTTGACCACATATAAGGGTCTGCTTACACCTGGTCACTACAAGCGTTCTTACTGATCCGGTTAGCTATCTGGTTTGTTAGAATGGAAATTTGTTCCAACCAGATGTATTTACACTTGCCCAGTTTTGTCTGGAATCATTTAATCCAATTGTAATAAAATGATTTATTTAAGACACTGAAACTTTAATATTTAAATTTATTTTTATAAAATTGCTTTGCTTTGTGCAAAATCATCACAAAGTAGGAATCCTTTTTTATTGATACATGAAGAGTTCAGATGCAAATAGCCTCTAAGTGCTATTTGAAATTTTCTTCTAGAATGATCATTTTTATCAAGCTTGTATATTTAAGTTCAGTAATTTCACTTAAATGGCAATGATGATTACCTATTAATTGTTATTTAAGTGAAATTACTGAACTTAAATATACAAGTTTGATAAAAATCATCATTTAAGAAGAAAATTTCAAATGGCATTTAGAGGCTTTTGCATCTGAACTCTTCACATGTCCCCTCATTTTCATGGAACAATGATGCAAACATACATTCCAACAGCTCCAACAACTCCACGGAAGGCCAAAATTCTTATAAATGGTTTGATTTTGCTGCATTGAAGATCACCCCTATTTTAAATATTATAAATAATGTCTTAAAGATGTTGTTAGCAGCATATTGTGTACTTGTGCTTGGAGTCGATTGTTTTATTTGTGATAAGTCAATGAAACATTTCAAATTGTGTAACATAATTTTTGGCCAGGCTGTCATACTAAGAAATTAAGAAAACAAGCAAAAACAAGAGAGGACCAATTAAATCTTAATAACTGATTACAATGGTTTTTCATTTGGAGGTCTGTAATGTTTTTTTTTTTTTTTTTTTTTTTTTTTTTTAACTAAAACCTGTAGCTGTATTTTTACTTTTTTGCCAAATAATTTTGTCAGATAAATACTTTAAGTAAGTTTGTTCTTGCCTCGTTATTTAAAAAAAGAATATATATATATATATATATACAGCATATATATATATATATATTAGGGCTGTGCAAAAGTTAATTGCGATTAATCGCATCCAAAATAAAAGTCTGTGTTTACATAATATATTTGTGTGCACTGTATATAATTATTTTGTATATATAAATACCTATGCATGCATGTATATATTTAAGAATTATTTGCGCTTAAATTCTGTATATATTTATAAATACATAATCTATATTATATAAATATAAATATTTTATATATGAATAACACATTTTCTTAAATATATACATGCATGTGTGTGTATTTATATATACAAAATAATTATATACAGCACACACAAATATATTATGTAAACACAGACTTTTATTTTGGATGCGATTAATCGCAATTAACTTTTGCACAGCCCTAATATATATATATATATATATATATATATATATATATATATATATATATATATATATATAATATATTTTCCTCATGTGCGTTAAATAGTGCGGCCTTAAATAATTTAGGAGCTGAGACTTAGTCTTGACACTTAGGAACATTTATGAATCACACTTATTATTAAGTCTAGGAATAAGAGTAAAATTACTTCATTAGAGGAATTTTGACGCACTTAAAAAATATCTGAGCGGCTTTATACATACTGATCAGAGAAAATGCATGAAGTGACCCAGTATAAACAAGTCCTAAGAGCTGTTGTTAGGCAATATTATTCCTCTGCAAAATAATATAGTGCACTGTTTGTTGTTTCCTGAAAAATTCCATACATTTCAAATTTCTGAAGGTGACTCTGAAGACTAGATTAATGACTCCTGAAAAGTCAGCATTGCCATCAAAGGAATAAATCAGATTTTATAAATTAAATATATTAAAATATAAAACAAGTATTTTAAATTGCAATACAATTGCACAATATTACTGTTTTACTATATTTTGATCAAATAAATACAGCCTTGTTGAGACTTTTTTTTCCAAAAAACATTAAAAGAAATCTCACTGACCCAAAACTTTTTCATGGAAGTGTATATTGAGCTAGAAGTTTTTTGGCTTTCAACCAGAAGCTATTGTCTCAAAACTGGATGTAGAAGAAGAACTCGAAGAATAGTCTTTAATGAAAAAATCAAAAAACAGTAATTCATAGGAGAATGTCATAGGGAGCAAAAACCAACCACTTTAACCAAACATTAGCAGAAGGGGAACTAACTCAAACTGAGGGCTTATGCTGCGTTCCAGGCAGGTTTTTGAGCACGTAAATCACAACTTCAAACCACAACTCACAACTTTGTAGCTTTCCAGGCCAGTCACTACCTGAGCGAAAGGAATTGTGGTAGCTAGATGTAAACAAACCAGCATGGTGGACTGTATGGGGCTGATGCGCATTTGTAATGATTTCTGTCGCCAAAGCTGCTTACTCCTTGTTTATTTGAGGGAAACGGAGGAGGAAAAGCAGTGCATAAGGCAAGATAAGCTGTTATAACTTTTAGTTTACTTTATTTGGAAATGTATTTGGTATTAATTCATCCTTGCACTCAATGGACTGAAAACTAGTTAAAGTCCCTGTAAAGTCAAAATTAAGTATGTGTTCTGAGTTTGTCACACCACTGAAAAATGTGTTATTAGCCACCCAGCCAAATTTGAATGATAAAAAAAGCCTGGAAGTACATAAAATAAGCTATCAAAATCTTGAAAAAATGAGCAGTTATCTCTGTTCTCAAACGCTGGGGGCGTGTCTGCTGGCTGCGCTGAAACCACGCCCACTAGCGGGAAAGCTGTCGACGGTGATATTAGGTGAAAATGCTTTCGGGACGGGAGGATGAACACTGAGGCGGGAGATAGTCGTTTCGGCCCCGTTCACCAACAGTGGATTATCAGTCAATCCCAGTTGTCTCTGAGGAAATTTATAAAACTATCCAGTGTAAAATGATCACTTCAGAGGTGGGTGTTGGCGGTGACCCTCAGCTCTTCATCAAGGTTGGCTCTCTAAAAACCTCTTCTTGATGTGATCGTTTTCATTGAATTTAAATGAAGATACCGATCTGTTTTGTACATGATCGCATCCAGGTAGTAGCCTATACATTTCTGTGTCGAAGGCATAGCTAGCTAGAAAACTGTAGGCTCAGCTTGTACTGACAGTCACTCGCGATTAAGAAAAGTGATCTCATTTGCGAATGTGCTCGGGGAGTGTTATTGTGTGTTGAGAGATCAGACTCTGTGCGTCATCAAATAGGGGCGTGTCCAGGAGCTCATGGGCTCCAGTGCGTCATCGAGCCCTGTTTTAGCCCCGCCCAAACAATCCGTAAAATTGCAATGGTGAAAAACTGTTTAACGGTCTAACTCCACATTTCAGTACTTCACAGTTCACAGTCTTTGTAATATGTTTTAGCAATACATATGCAACATTTATAATGTGTTTAGAACTTTTTTGTAGAATTGCCTTTACAGGGACTTTGTCCTAAAGTAAATTCTCACCGTGTACCGCCTGCATCCGCAGGGGCTGCCATTGTTATTTTGTATGGTTTCGTGGGCTATATGACGTCAGAGCTCGTAACTGGGAGTACATTGATCTAGTATGAGTTCACGGGTGGGAAGTGACTGGTTTGACTGCCGTTCCAGTGCACTTTCACAGGTATAAGGTTGCAAAAGCACGGGTTACATGTTGTCTGGAATGGGGCATTAAATACACAGAGCAAGCATAGGAAACTAGATGCCACACAGGTGAAGGGGTTTAATAACCAGGAAAATCAAATCAGTAACTATGACAACCAATAAGATGTGGGAACATGGGAAACTAGGTCAAACTAAACAGGAACATATATTATACTGTGTATTTGTTTTCCTAACATCATTTGTATTATTTGTTTGGGATCCAGTTCATTGTTTAATGAATATTATTACTATACATTTGTCTTAGATTTCCCAAAAAATAAAGTATTTACGTAGAAGCACCTGCTTAATAAACAGACATGTTACAATGTTGTTGTTTTTTGGTTTTTTTTTTTTGCCATCTACAGGTCAAGTCTGATGACAGGAGGAAATGGGGGGTCGGGACCGGCAGTGAACCCGTGGCTGATTAATGAGTCTGAGGAGACCAGAGGACTCGGCTTTGGAGAAATCAAACACCAACAACAGCAGATTATCGAAGGTATGTTGCAAATGAGATCACTTTTCAAGTCTTTCAGTCTTACAACTGATGTGGTGCTTGACATTGCTTCTAGCTGACAATTATCTGGCCACCTCTCTCTGCTGTCCAGATAATCATCTATATTCTGATGAGATGAGACATTTTGAGAAGTATTTTTTTAATTTACGCCCCATTACGAGATCTGCTACGCATTTGAGAATAGCAACTGGTAGGAGTTTTAAGAAAAAGCAGGAGCCGTTTTGTCTACCCAAGTTATACTTTTAGCCTCAAGGTTACAGCTAAAGTACCTTGTGGCTCACTGTGGCAGCGACCTCTGTCAAAAATGACATCAGATCACACTATATGTCCTTTAAATGCCACAGATGGAATTTATGTACCTTTCTATAAGATAAGATTTTTCATTTCCGTCAACGTATGATAATTTATTGGATAAATTAAAGCACAGAAACATAAAATATCAGAATTTTTTTTGTGTTTGTGTTTTTTTTTGTTGTCTTTCTTTTGTACAGTTCTGACTGAATATGTCCATATTCTCTATGTGTCTTTAGCTCAGGATGCTGGCCTGGATGCTCTGGCTGCAGTCATAAGTAGGCAAAAACAGATGGGTCAGGAAATCGGCAATGAACTAGAAGAACAGAATGGTAAGTGAAAAGCGGAGTAGCCTATATGTGACAGCTCTGGCTGAACATTCAGATCTTTTTCTGTGAATAACATCTAATTTGCGGTCAGGTTGGTTTTACTTTGTCAAGCCGCTCTCTTGCTACACTACACGTGAAGTCATTGGCTCTAAAATTAGGCATTTTTTAAGACTGCGTTAAAGTGGCAAATGTGGAACAGGGTGCTTGGAAACCCCCTCTCACCTGGTCTGTCTATCGCGTTTTTGCTGGGCAACTAAATATAAGACCTGTGTCCTTTGCACAGAGACATCTCATAACTGTGCGAATCTATTCCAGTTCGAATGTTAGAACGTGGAGGAATTGCGCAGTGGATGATGTAGTCGAAGTCACATGGAGGAGACTGATCTCAGATCAGTAGTCTGTGTCCTCATCTGAAGGTTGCAGCTGCTTTTAACTTTTCCCACACTGTTCTTCAATCTGTCTGGCCTAGCTGGTAAAGTGAGACAGATTAGAATGTGGAAAATCTATATATAATTGTCAATTTTTTAAGTGAGATATTTTATCCACAAGATCATTTGGCTGATATACGATATTTTCTCAAAATGATCAGGCACACTGACATTCAATAAAGAGTGCTACTTTAGTATGAATTGTCAGGGTTACAGCTATTAAAAAAAGCCCGATAAACCAAAGCTGCAGTTGTTCATTTAAAGCACTTAGTGATGTTACTTGGCACTCTAGCGTAACAACTTTGTGTCTCACAGAAGAACATTGTAGCCGGAGTTAATTCTCTCTGTTAAAGGAACACTCCGACTTTTTGGGACTTTAGCCTATTCACCTTACCCCCCAGAGTTAGATAAGTCCATACATACCTTTTTCATCTCCGTGCGTGCTATAAGTCTGTTTGACGCACCCACCGCTAGCCTAGCTTAGCACAAAGACTGGATGTGAATGGTTGCAGCTTTAATACTAATCCAAATGAGTGGCAAAATAACGCAAACGTTTTCCTATTTACATGTTGTGATTTGTATAGTCACAGAATGTACAAATAACAAAGTCAAATGAGACACAGACATCTTTTAACCGTATAAAACCTGGGAACTATTCTCTGAAGGCGAAGCACTGCTACTTTGACGGAGTAATAACCGCATCACCTGAGACACGCCGTGGTGAGGAGCGGAGAGTTCGCTCAGTGTTTGGGTAACAGAGTCAGCAATTTATAAATAGTAAAAGCGTAGTTTACAGTCATGGGTTTTCGCTCTATTGTAAATAGCTGCGACAGTAAACAGGGGAGGTAATACCATGTTTCACAGAATTCCAACTAAAAACGCTGACTGGATGAAGAAATGGCTAACTTACTTACTCTGGATATTTATTCAAACACACCTAAATAGATTATCAAGGGACATTATGTTTGCTTGGTACATTTCAATGGACGACTATTTTGAAAAAATGGAATTTGCCACACGGACCATAATGTGCTGAAGGATACGACCATCCCATCGATAGCACAGACAGGACAAGTGGATCACCTGCGGCTGAGGTAAGTGTTCCGTTATGTTTCTAGATGACCTACTGTAACAGTGCCATTATTAGCCAGATCTAATGTAACGTTAGTGACACTATTATATGATTAGGGTATGAATATGTTTTTATCTTGATGCGGTGCAGACGCGCTTGGAAAAAAACGAGCGCGTTCACCGCATTGAACTTGCACCCTGCGCGCAGCGCGCCTAGTAGCCTAAATTTGAAATAACCATGGAAATAACAAACTTGAGCGTGCAAAAGGGTACGATAGGCTGTGAGTTCATTGTGCAAAAACAATTTGTGCTATTACTTTCCCCTTATTCTATCCTATAGTAATGCAATTATACTGTATATTATATACTGTTGAATACATTTGGTTCAGCTAATAAATTGCATTTAAAATATATTGATTCCTGTAATAATAATTATTTATTCATGTGATATTTATAAATCTGGGTGCGTTTTTGGTTGGAAATCAATGAAACATGGTACTGTACCTGGTCTCCCCTGTTTATTGTCACAGCTCATACAATAAAGCAAACACCCATGATAAACTATGCTTTTCTATCTAACGTTAGTAATTGCTGACTCGAAGCGAACTCTTTGCTCCTCGTCACGGTGCGTCTCAGGTGATGGTTATCACTGTCAAGTAGCAGTGCTTCGCCTTCAGAAAATATAGTATTTATACGGTTAAAAGATGTCTGTGTCTCATATGGCCTTGATATTTGTACAGTCTGTGACTATACAAACCACAACATGTAAATAGGAAAACGTTTGCGTTATTTTGTCACTCATTTGGATTAGTATGAAAGCTGCAACCATTCACATCCAGTCTTTGTGCTAAGCTAGGCTAGCGGTGGGTGCGTCAAACAGACTTATAGCACGCACGGAGATGAAAAAGGTATGTATGGACTTATCTAACTCTGGGGGGTAAGGTGAATAGGCTAAAGTCCCAAAAAGTCGGAGTGTTCCTTTAAGGTCTATGATGAGTTACGCGGGGCGGTACAACCTGTACCAGCCTAAAATAGTCTAAATATAAACACTAATTGTAGGTGTACATTAGTGATCCATTGTAGTGTACTGTAGTGACAAAAACACGGTTTTTATGAAAAATAAAAAGGGTTACCGACTGGAGATTTAATATTTCGAAATGCTGCATTCTGTCCAACTGCTTTGTAGCAAGAGATGAAGCATCATGTGCGACAGTGCGAATGTCTTTTTAGGTCTTACTCAGATATCGACTAAGATTTCATGTTATCTTATCTTATTGCAATTATAACAATTTCGAAGAGCAGCCATCACAATCTTGACAGGTATGTGAACCAACTGATACACAATCTTACATGCAAAATCTAATGGATACACATTTCAGTTGAAGTCAGTTCTGTGACCGTGCATCTTCTGTCTAAAAAAATGAAGTTCACCTCCTCCATGTTGCTTTTGTTGGCACAGTGAAGGTTGCCCACAATAGTTTTTTTTCAGGGGGCAGGGTAATTGCTATGGACCACTTCCAGTGTTACTAGTCTTTCCTGTCTGTTCAACAACTGGCTCCTTGAAAACTTAAGACTAAAGAGTCTAAAGGTCACAATTGGTTTTTTTATTGAATAAAGATGAGCACATTAATTAATTGAAAGAGTGATTGAAACTTTTATAAGTGCTTCCCGAGATTAGTTATTTAACATAGCCTAAACAAACCTAAGGTTCATCGTTATTGTGACCTTCTGGTGGAGACTAATGCTGGGAATTGGAGGCACTTGGCTGCTTCTCACCGTTATTCAGGGCTCAGTGTGATTGATTTTGTCTGCTTCATGCTTTCCCCATCTAAACATAGGAGTGAGAATGAATTATTTGAACTGGACTCACATTTTTTCTCCCCTCTTTTGCTAAAGCATGCAGCATCAGTGTTTCCTAGAAAATAGTTTTAAGAGCGGTGACAGATAGCATGGTCTCGCATTGGAGAGCTGATAGAGTTACGGTGCTGTACTAATGTACAGTCCAACAAACCTCTCCCGCAGATTTCATCTGCAAGAGTCTTTTTCAAGCAGTCAGATATAGCGCCTCTCCCATGTGCGTATTAAAGTCCTGCTTTCCTCTGGAAAGCAGCCGTAAAGAGCTGTCACTGAAGGTCTTCTTGAGCAGAGTCCTCTAGAAGGAGACAGAAGAGTGTGTTCCTTCTAAAATGCTGTAACTTTGTGCTCCTGATGCACTTTATATAAAAAGAGTTTATAAAGCACAGTCCAGTGTCTTCAGAAAACATTCATGCTGATACTTCTAACATGTTTTGCCCTTCAGTAACACTAAATGCAACACATTCATGATTCATTTCTGATTAATTCATCTGATTAAAGGGATTTTTGAAAATTCACAACTCATTTATTACCCTCATGTCTATAATACTTTTTTTCTTCTCTGTGAAACACTAAAATATATTTTTAAGAATGTTGGTAACCAACAGTTTAGGTTCCCATTGACTTTATATGGAGTTTTTTCATATAGATTGGTATTGGTTTTGGTGATATTGTATTACTTATAAGGCCTGTCCAATCGGTCCAATGACAGTTTCTGATAAATGGGTGAAGGTTTACTGCCTGTTATTATCTTTTCAGCATGGCAAAGTAATTTAATTCCAATTAAACTTTTATCTGACTCCATTTTTATCCCAACCTTGAATTTAGGTTAGAATGCTAGCTGGTTATTGCTCATTTATAGTTTAGTAACACATTTGATTATTCTATTTAACTCTTTACTCTTATTATCCTTGTTAATTCGAGTGTCAAAGCTGAAAGCCTGAAGTTTGCGCAGTAAGGAAGAGTGATGGCGGAACACTAACAAATCAAGTAAGCTCATTTAGAGTATAAATGACATTAGCAATTGCAATATGTCGGTAGATTAGCCAGGGCAGCATACCTTATAATCCATGGTGTTGATAGATGCTGATTACGGGCTGATTACAAATATATACAGTATATATATATATATATATATATATATATAATATTGGGGTTAGTGATAGTGACCCTAGAGGAATGTCTTGTAGTTCCTAACGGCTGTTTGTTATAGTCCTAGAAATGGATTTCTTTAAAAGCTGATATCTACCTTTGCTTTGAACTTTGAGCGTTGCAACTTTGCAGATGTTGTTTATGCTCAAACAGCAACATTACACACTAGCTAAAGTTAGAAAAGTGAAATCGTGTTTTACCACCCCTTTAATACATTACTGAGTTGATTGCTCTTAGTGTGATTTCATCTTGGGGATGATTAATCACAGACAACTTTGCAAACTTAAAATAATTCTAATTAAAAATAGTAAAAATGAATAAAGTCTGGGCAATGATTAAAGTCAAGACTTCGTACTGTGTTCAAGAACACTGTCAGTTTTCAGTATTTCTATGAGCTTTGTGAATTGGAATTTTAAATTATACCAAATTAGCATTTTCACAATGCACTTTCCTGGTCATGCTATAGTTTGGATTGAAGTCTGGGCTCTGACTGGGTCA